TGCCCCACTTTGGCACTTTCCAATGCACTCCCTAACTTATCCCAAAATTTCTGATTTTCCCCCTGATTTTTTGGACATGCTCCTTTTTTAGAAAGTCCCCCATTTTCTGAATTTTCCTTAATTTTCCCTGACTTTTTTTCAAGTTTTTAGAAACCCCCCAGTTCCCCCTCATTTTCCTCCCATTTTCCCCTTCATCCCCCCCCTCAATTTCCCCCCCCCCCCCCCCAATTCCCTCTGCAATTCCCCCCATCCCCCCCTTCAATTTTCTCCTCATTCCCCCTCATTCCCCCCTCATTCCCCCTCCATTTCCTCCCCCATTTTCCCCCAATTCCCTCCTCAATTTTCCCCTCATTCCCCCTCATTCCCCCCTCCAAATTTCACCCCATTCCCCCCCTCAATTTCCCCCCATTTCCTCCCTCATCCCCCCAATTCCCTCCTCAATTCCCCCATCCCCCCTTCAATTTTCCCCTCATTGCCCCCTGTCAGGGCACACACCCCGACTAGCCCGGACCCGCTTCCACCCACCCTGCTTCCCACACACGCGCACGCTCCGCATGCTGCATGCTCCAGGCCCGGTTCCTACCCCTTCATGTGACTTCCGGGTATCCCCGGAAGTTTTCCTGATATGGTGGTCACTGTGGGAAGATGAGAAGTTAGCTTCCTTCTCATCTTCTTACCCACAGTAGGCAAGTGTTGTGCCCTGGATAGGGCTGGTTACACCACAGGGCTGTGGACCATAGGGGAGGGTCATGGGGACCCGGGAGTCGTCCCCTGACACCCCCTCCAAATGTCACCCCATTCCCCCCCTCCATTTTCCCCTCATTTTCCCCCTCATTTCCCCCCTCATCCCCCCCTCCAAATTTCCCCATTTCCCCTCATTTTCCCCCCATTTCCCCCCTTTAATTTTCCCCTCATTCCCCCTCCCAATTCCCCCTCATTTTCTCCCTCATCCCCCCCCAATTCCCCCCCATTCCCCCCCTCAATTTTCCCCTCATTTTCCCCCCCATTTCCCCCCCACTCATTTTCCCACTCATTTTCCCGCATTTTCCCTAAGTAATTTCAGATTAACTGCATTTATATCCCTAAATTTGGTCTATATATTGATTGGGCTACATACCCTTGGTGTGTGGTGCTGCATTGGTGCTGAAAGTTAAGCTGAGTTTGTTCAGTCCCTTGTATGGTAGGGACTTGGCTATGGCTAGTCACATGATGCCATAGTCAATGCTTTTAAATTTAAATTTTAATATCGGGTAAATTAAACACTCAGGGAGCTCATATAGATAATAGTCCCCTGCGTGCAAATATAGCTCTATGAGCTCTCAGAGCTTTGACTACTGTCAGGGACAGCTCTGAAAGCAGCAAGGTCCCGGCATGAGGGACTTGATGGGACAGGTGTCGGCTATGCGTAGCGGCGGTCCCATTGCAGGGTGAGCATCCCCAACCACTTAGTCTGAAGTGGGAAGTTGTGTTATCATTAAAAAGGGGGGAAGCTACAGTACTTACCTGAAGTGGGAAGTTGAGAAGAAGGCTGCTTCTTCTGTTCCCACCCCAGGCACTATTATATACATGTGGTCAGGGTCACATGGGGGAGCCATGTCATCTCCACACACAGCCACACCTCTCTGGGTGTCTCCATGGGAGATCCCAGAGGTGTGCCGCTCTGTAGGCGGGAATGCATGTGGTGGGTGTGGTGATCAGGCATTAGGTGTGTAGTGATACATAGAGAAAAGGGAAGTCAACTGTGGAACAGAAATAGAGAGAGAGAAGAAAAGGGAAAGGAGGAATGGGGAGTGATAGCAGGGGAAGCAGAGTAGGGCAGGGTGGTGTGGGGTCAGGTGGGGTGTGCCCTGACACAGAGCTTGGGATGCTCCACACCTCCAGCTCCAGACTCCTGTACCAGAACCCCATTACACCTCCACCTCCAGAACCCCAGTCACATCTCTGCCCCAGACTCCATCTTATCTCCTTGTATTCCTTATTACATTTATTATGTCTAGCCAATATTCCAGACTTTGACTTCTGACTCTGGACCTCTGGAACTTACTCCAGACCCTGCAGTCTCTACTGTATGGTGTCATTTAATCCTCTTGTTGCTTCTTTCTTATTTAGATGGCTGCTTCCTTTCCATATTAGTCAGCTGTCATTCCCCACAACCCACTCCACTCCTTCCCCTCTTGGCCCTGCCCTTTTGGGAAGCACCATAGAGTCCCAACCCTTGACCCTTGGGGTTGTTCCCTCATCCAGTCCCCTTTTGTCTCCTTCCAGTTCCCTTTGTTCCCTTTGGGTTCTATTTGTCCTCTGACTCCACTCCTGTATTATTATATATACACTCTGTACATAGTTTCCTGTACCCCTAGTCTGAAATTGATGACTAGAGAACCAGAATCGACTGGATTGTCCCCCCAAGAGACTCCCCCTTGCTAACCTGAAATTAAGGACCACCTCAGACAACAAACCAGTGGCACAGCGCTCCACTTGAGTCGCTGAGGCCAAGGTCCCTCCTTACTGAGTCCCTTCTCTGCTTCCAGACAATTATGCATTCTATAACATTATGGGTCCAATGATTCAGTGTTAAGAGATCACTGCTGCATGAGGACCACCAATCAGTGTTGGAGGAACCATGTGCTATGGGAGGCTGGACGAGTTTTCATACAGCCACATTCCCACGGTAGTGTGACTACTTGGTCACAACACCTTTTTACTTATTTTGGTCACTTCGGACTTATCCGCGAAGGCCACAAACTACATTCAATCTTTTGAATTAGTTTCCCTTTTCCTCAGTTCTCACGCATTAGCTTGAGACTGAGCTTTAGCACTAGAGCAAGCAGTTATTCCATTAATCAGTTGTTGGGTTGGGTAGAAAAGATGAACACTTTCGAAAGGGATCGTGAACGGAGTGAATGTCACCCAAAAAATGCACAGATGGCCAGCCATTTCACGGGGTTAAGGTTAAAACCTTAAAGAGCGAGGCTTGAGCCAATCAGAGAGCGAACGGTCGTCCGGCTGGACCCAGCCTAATCCTTGCGGGATTACCCGGGTACTTGCAGTTTCCCGTCTGGCGTACCCAACTCCTAGCCCCTTCCGGATGGGGACCTGACGGTGTATTTGGGCTTAGTGAAGGTTACCCCATCGGGGTCCAGGGGTCTTTGCCTGTGTTTTATCCGGATTCTTAGTGGCTCCCCTTGGTTTTATTGAGTTGTGTTATGGTGTTGAGTTTATTGTACTTAGGTGTCATCTCACGCTCGCTAGTTTAACGACGTTGCGGTCGTGCATCGGACATTTTTGTTCATAGCCCCTAGATGAGTATGATGGTGGTCCGTGCCAATCCAGGCTACTTTTGCCCTTTTGCCACGGAACTGCTGGCCCCAGTCGAATATGCCACGTTATCGTCGGTACATAGATATCAACTTCAAGAAACGGCGCCTATTTCCAAGAGGCCAAACACCCCTTTATTGGATCTGCGTCGTGGTCAATGCACGCGCCTTCAAGCTTGCTCGACAGTGATGACTTGTTTCCAAAAAGGGAAACATCTAGTAGCCCTTTGTTCTCCCAATTGAATTTGCATTTGCCGCCGTAAGCCGTGGCTGAGCAGGTCGTCCGGGCTTCCTCCTATCCTCACCTCTTGCCTTGATCTACACTGGTGCTATGGCTCCCAAAAGAAAACCCTCGTCTCAGTATCCCACCCTTGCGCCGTCTTCTGCTGATCCGCAGTCATCACAACCCTCGGGTTCCTCACTTCCCCAGATGCGTTTCACAAGAGCTAGGACAGACCAAGTCCACGATAACACCAGCTATGATCAGCTTGATGGTGCTCATCTTCAGCCTCCCCGGGCCCGATCTACTGCGCGATCCTCCAGCGGATCTAGGGGTTCGGAACGACGGATGTCTTCAGGGCGCCCTATAGCAGGGCTTCTCCACAGAAGCCCCGATCCCAACATATCGAGCACACCGAATCTCGCGGAGTCTGTACCGACTACGCCCCACCCCGCATCTCCGGGTGATTCCAGGCCGTCGTTATCTCGCCCCTCCTTCCCGGATAGTATAGACAATTACAACCGCCACTCGACTTCTACAATACAACCCATTTATGACCCCCGCGCAATCCTCAGTGCACAGGAAAGATACATGGGTATAGATAAGTACACCGGTGCACTGCCTCCTTCCTCGGGGGCACCACCGTCGTCCGCCATCCCTAGAAAAGCAAGGGCTATTAGCGCCACAGTATCTATGCTTCAATCCGCATCCTTCTCTTTCAAAATCTCGCCTGTCCCATATGCCAGCCAGATTCTGGATTTCCTTGTGACGTTGCTCCAAGGTTACGAGGTCTGTGACATTTTGGTCTGGTGGTCAGCGGCTGGAATTGCTCATGTTTCTTCCACCCGAGCAGACCATTGACAGCAATAATAAAAATCTCGAGGGCCTTAATGATGAGGTCCGGAAAGCTTACGCCACCATCTTGCGGCCACTTCAGCTCTGTACGAGCCAAATCCCGCCCGAAGTGGTATTCTTATTCAAACAATTTCATTCGTATGTTGCATTTCCTTCCCTTGGCCATTCATCTGACCTCGAAGCTGTTAACAGTACTCTGGAAGGTCAGGTCAAGCGTATCGAGTCCCTCAAAATACAGAAGCGTATCATGAAATTCATATCGGCCACAACGATAGCTCGGGACATAGGTGATGTGAAGGCGTGTATCAATATGGCAATTATTTCGTTCTCGGTTTGTAAATTTTTCTCTCAAGCATTGAATGTTAGCCAACCAAATCACTCGACAGACGGAGGCAACGACGTTGAACCTCCTTCAGACAAGTCAATTATCGGTGCAATGTATGTCTCTCGGGCTGTGCATGCTTTTGAACTCCCCTGCTCACACACTTTCAGCGGAGCTGTTGAGACTGAAGCCTGCCCCTGCCGAGCACATTCATGTAAAGAGCAAGTCAGAGTGCCTCCCAACCACTCAGGATAAGACACGGGGGTTAATCCTCAATCATTTGAAAGATGCCAAGAATCGATTTGTCTGGTTACGGGGATCTCCTGGGACGGGGAAGACTGCCATAGCCATGAGTGTTGCATCCACCCTCAAAGCACAAGGCACTCTGGCAGCATCCTTTTTTTGGGATAAAAACCAGACCGGATCAGGCCTTGATTCTACTAAACAGTTCCCTTCCACGCTTGCACACCAACTTGCATGCTTCAATGAGGACTTCAAGATGTCACTTGTCAGGTGCCTTCGGCAGCAAGATCTGCAATTGGTCCAGGATCTGCCTCTGGACAAGCAACTGAAATCTCTTGTTATCGAGCCTATGCGTAATCTGACAAAGATACTGCCTTCTGGGAAAGATCGCCCTGTCATTGTCTTAGATGGTTTGGATGAGTGTGGAGATCTAGAAGCACTTGAACATCTGACAGAGCTTGTCCTTATCCTTGAAGAGCTGCCAGCCACATTTTCGGTTTTTGTCAGCTGCCGTCCTGAGTCATTGGTTGTGTCAGCTTGGGATGAAGCTCGGGAACGGGGCCTTGTTATCCCATGTGAAGATATGGATATAATTACAAAGGAGGAGAAACACCACACAATCCGTTGCATGGTGGAGGATGGCCTTCGAGATCGTATCAAGAAGTCTCGGTGGAAACCTTTGGAGAAAGATCTCCATGCATTTACTTTGGCTTGTCGTGAATTGCCTGTTATGGCCTCACTTCGGATTCGTGAAGTTATATTGCGGACACGGCATGGCCGCACCCTGCAGACAGAGTTCCAGTACTTGCTCAGTCTCTCCAATGCACCCACCGATCTCAACTGGGAGTACTTGCGAATACTTCGAAGAGCCTACATGCCTGATTCATCTGCAATGCTTGCTGATGTAGCCAACAAGTATCACCTATTAGTTGGCACAATTATTGTGGCACATACACCCCTGAGTGTATATTCTATGTCACAGCTTTTAGGAATTGCTGAAGATGAGGCCCAAGCCACACTGGAACCAATCAGCTCAATCATTGAACTTCCCTCAGAGAACATGAAGGATGTTAAATTCTATCATGCCACAGCAAAAGAATTCATAATGGGGGATCCAATTGGTAATGAAAATGACAAAGTGTTTTTTATCAATGACATGAAGGGATATTTTCTTGGACCACTACTCCTTCGGATTTTCAATAATTGTTGCAAGAGGAATGAATTTAGGATACCCACCAATCCCCCTCTTGGTGACAAAGAAAAATGGGCAGACACCAATGCCCTCAGTAATCAACCCATTCACATCCGATACATCATTGGCAATGTACTCAAACACCTGGACCCAGCAAAACTCTTTTCCCAACAGTCCAATGACAATGGATTGCAGAAGGAGTTCAATTCTTTCCTTACACAAAACTTCCTTACATTCCTGCACATGCAATTTGGGTCTCTTCACATACCAGCAGGATTTGATGAATTCAATGTAAGTCTGAGCCAGTTTGTGTTACATTTATTTGATGTGACATCACTTCAATAGAATTATGATGTAATTGACATCCTCCAAGAAGGGAAGGCAATGTTTGGGGTCCATCGGTGGTTGCTTCACCGATCTATGTCTCTTTTCTGCCGGCCCAAATCACCGCTTTATCAACTATATGGCCACCTCTCTGACTCTGTTCAGATCTTCAGTATTTCTGGCAAGATTTCAAACCACTTGATTCCATTGACTGAGGCTTCACTTAATGCCCAAATGCTTATGGAGGCAAAATTAGGTGGATTGCCAAAGAAGGTTAACAAGTGGGGTCATAAAGTGGTCACTTATGAAGCTGAATTCTGTGAACCTGATGTCCGTAATGGCATTGTGACATGTGCAGCACTCTCAAGTGATGGTCGATACATTGCACTTGGGTTTGGTAGTGGTGTTATTGAGATTGCTGATATTGATGATCAGCATACAATCTCTCAGTTCCAGAATCATCCACCCAATCCACCAGCATGGATTGAGTTTGTCCATGGTGGTCATTGTGTTGCTACTGAGGATTTCGGTGGGAACATCACAATCTATGGCCATGGTGCACTCCCTGTGCACCTTGGCACTCTCCCTGTAGGTGCCTATCCTTCTGTAACTGCCATCTCAGATAGTGGATTGTTCATCATACGAGTTTTACGGGATCCAAGAAAGCCTTGGTACAACAACATGGCATGTATATGCATTCTAGGTGATCCACACATTCAGCCACTTGCCACTCCTTCCAACTCTTCCATTTCATCCCCCCAATCCAATTCTGAGCCAGCCTTTCCTGAGCGTCACATGATTGCATTTTCTCCAGGAGCACGATACATTGCTGCCTTTGATGGGGACAGTGCTTTCACCTGGTTGACAGAATCAGGTGATTTTATTGCATGTTATGATGTACGAGGAGATACAACTTGGATTATAAATCCTGGGATGGCCCCTACTTGCCCTTATCACATCCCTCATCCAGTATCTACTCTCCCATTGGGCAGTGACACAGTCTATGCAGGGCCTGACTTGGATGAGTCTTGGATCAAGTGTCCATTTTTCCATCACTTGCCAATCCATGGCCAGGGCTGGGGCTATTCATTTGCTGCAGGAAAGACCCCATTAATCAGTGCCCGCCCCCCATCAAAGGTATGGTTCAATGGAAGCTCACAACTTGCTGTCCCATTGGGCTATTGCCCAATTTCTCTTGAAGCAAATGGCATAGGACTCTGGTATGGTGATCGACTGATCAAGAATATCAGTAGTTTCTACTCTCCTCGAGCCAGCAAGGATGGCACTCGATTTCTGCTCCAGGGCCAGAAGAAAGCTCCCATTGTTGTTGATATTGGCCAAGCCACTTGGTATCCAAGTGCAATGCATGATTATGATTTCCTAGTGCCTAGCAATTATTCTCCTTGTAGCACATCATCTGACATTTCTTCTCCCTGTGACAAATTATCTGATGATTCTTCTTCCAAAACACCTGACAACCCCAATGATAAACTCCTTTAGAGTATTGGATTTCACATAGTTTCATGTCCATCTTTACATTTGCAACTCTAAAATCGCTCAGGTATGATATCAATAATGATTTTCAAGTATCCCATGCATAATATGTTGTTGGATTGAAACATGAGACTATTGTGGACAGAGCAGAAGGTCCTCCCCATCAGCCCAATCAGCCAAGGGAGACACTATAGGGTGTCAATTGTTATACATACCCTAGGGGGCCTCTGTTAGATATAGCTATGTCCAGAAGTGGAAAAGGAGGAGGGATGTCAGGATCCAGACCCCAGCTGGGAGTGGCCAGAGGACAAGGCAAGGTGTGGGAGCTGGGGTACTCTCCCCAGCTGCTAACTCCTCAAAGTCACTGAGGGGACTAGCTTCAGCCTTCACAGGGAATGAGCTGAGAAGAAGGGTAAGCTTCTCAGCCCCCTGTGAGGCTGACACAAAAGGACCCTAGGAACTATACAGTTCCCGCTTGCTGCTGACTTCCTGTAATGGGTGTGACCCATGGGAAAGTTCTGGGCAAGGTGCTCATCCAGAATGTTCCCACAGTCACATGTCATGGGACAAGTTACTCTCCCAGAAAGTTCCCACAGCTGTGACTGTGACCATTTCTGGGCAAGTCACTCACCCAGAATGTTCCCACAGGTCCACACATGTGCATCATTGTATGAAACAGTAGGGGGAAGGATAGGGGGAATGGGGGAATATGGGGAGAGGGTGGTCAGGGAAGGGAAAGGACTGTGTCCATCAGGCTTGATGCACCAATTTCCCCTCTCTACTGCTCCCATAGGAGTCTGGTTCTGCCTGCTTATACCAATCCAAGAATCCGAACTGAATCCATAGATTGAAAAGTGCAGATTCGGATTTGCCCCCCTGATCCACTAGGAGCCCTACTTAGAATGCAAGTACAAAGCAAAAAGATTTGAAGCAACATAAGCAGTATGTTTGTGCATTTCAAGACTTAGTAGTTATTTGTTGTGTTGGTGTGTTAATGATTGGTTTCTTAGTGATCTCTTGTCCATCACTCTTGCTGTAACCTGTATGTGATGGGTTATGATGTATTCCTCACTACTTATCATCAAATCACCATATGCTATGACCCAGTCGCTCACATTCTACAGCAAAGAATCATTGTCATTCACTCATGCTGGGGAAACCGTGTGCCTTCCTCCCTATTCCTCTACTTCACATGTTCAAACCACACTCGAAATTAGTTCATTTGTCTCTGTTCAAATTCCATGTTTTTCTTTTCTCGTATCAATGCATAATAACAGCATCGTTTTGGGTTACATTTTGATGACAATGTAACACACCAGTATGATGCCCTTCAACATCCAAATGTAGACATCCAACAAAGTTCAAATGTAATTACATTTGTGGAACCACAAATGTGCAAGTTCAGGTGTGATATGGAATACATACTCATGCTGTCAAAACATGGCAAAGAGGGAACGAGTGTGTCTGGACCTTTCCCTGGAAGGGAGGCTGGAGATAGAGGACGAGTGGAGGGACCGTGGCCTCAGTGACTCGGAGGGGAGCACTGTGCCAACATTTGATTACACTATTGTTGGGTCTTCAGAATGGGAGGGCGCAAACTCTGGGGGAATCTAGTCGTCGATTTTGCACTGAAGTGCCATCAACTATGGTACATGACCTATATACATAATACAGGACAAATATGAGAAGAAAGGGAAAACCCAAGAAGGACTTACTGTGAGGTCTTTGGGTAGCTCAGCACACAAGGCCGTAAGTGATACAAGTATGTGTATTTTACGGTGGTGTGTAAGCAGTTTCCTGGAGGTTCCCGCTTACCCACGTGACTATATGTATCTAATTTACATGTGGCTCGGGGTTCGGGGCTATTGCCCTGACATTCTCCCCCCTTGCGTTGCATTTGCGATGCATACAAGGTTGATAGTGAATAAAACAAAGTTTTAATAATTGATTTACATTGAGTTTGGAATTATCAATGAGTGTTTTGTTGTCGCCACTTTAAAGTGGGCGATTTTGTACATGTCGGTGAAGGAGAGAGAGAGGGTTTAAGGAATAAATGAGTGTGGGCCATTACTTTGAAGTGAACGGCGATACATGGGTATCGCAGGGAGAAAAGTAGTGGAGTTTGTCGAAAATGAATTTCGACCCAAAGGTTGTATGTCTTTGGTGTTCCTCACTTGTTCCATGAGGGTTCGTGTGTAAGTGGTGTTTACACACGAGCAGTGGTGGATGTGGGTCTTTTGGCAGAGTGGAGATTTCCGCAATTGTTACTTGTGGTTCTGTAAGGGATTAACCTTACTTCACTATAATTCCAATTATAGTGATATTTATATTATGTTGCATCGCTATAATTCCCATTATAGTGATGTGGTTATTTCTTTATTTATTTGTGCCGAGATATGTAATTTACATATATATACCTT